TTGAAGACCTTGCCGTTGAAGTTGAGGTACTTCCGCGTGTCCTCGCCGTCCAGGTCAAACTCGCTCTGCGTGCAGCCCAGCGAGGGTTTGAGGCTGCTTGCCAGGCCGCTTTTGAAGCTTTCTCCTGTATATTCCCAGCGGATGTTCACGGTGGAGACTGCATCCTCTGAGGTCGTCCAGGTGCAGATGTAGTCTGAGAGGTCCCGAACACATATTTTCGAGGCTGCGAGCTTGAGCGTGTCGATCGTGCTGTCCCCGGTCAGAAACCACGCACTGCGACTGCAGCTAAACCAACATTTATGACCAGAGTCAACGAGGATCTTAAATATTGCCGTCAAGGGATACGGCACGTCCGGCGAGACCGCTGGTGACCTCAACGCCACCTCTGCGTACAGGCCATAGTGCGCCAGGTTGCCGTTGTACGCCTGCATGATGACGCTGTGGTGATCAAGCCACGAGTCGTCCACTTGCTTCCACAGATGCCCCAGCTCCGGCGCCTGCTTGAGGATCTCCGCCTCAGCCCTCGCGAGCGCCTCATCGACGGTCAGGGTGCCCTTGATCGTGAAGTTGATCTCGCCCAGCACGCTCTTGATGTCCCTGTTGAGCTGCGCCTCACCCGCCGGGTAGTACAGGAAGAGGCCGTCGTGTTCGAAGGCGCAAACCGACGCCTCTGGGTCCTCCTCGATCTTGTTGACGACCAGGTCAACGATCTCTCTCTCAGCCGCTGTGTTGAGCGCGTACTCGAGGAACTCCACGGGTCTTGCCGTCATCTTCCGGAGCTGGCTCAGCTCCTCCTTGCGAGCGCCGCAGTCCTTCTTCCGCCCCTCCGCCATCTCCTTCGCGAACCTGTGGGCAAAGTCCTCCCGCGGGAACTGCGCGACGCTGTGCTCGGACTTCCAGGCCTTCACGGAGCCGCCGTACAGCAAGCGGAGGTAGAGCTGCTTTGCCACCCACCGTTCCGCGTGGGTCTCCGCCAGCACGGTGTCGCGGTGGTCGATGTATATTATACTCCTTCATCGCCGACCCTTCCTGCACGCCCCACCTCTTTGCGGAGATGGCCAGGTGCGCGTTCACCAGGTCGAAGACGAAGTGGTTCGGCAAGCCCTACCTGAACACATCCCTCAACCAGTTGGGCTGCGCGAAGACGCTTGTGCGCACATGCGCCGTCACAAGTCCCCCATCGGGCTCCGGAGACTGCTCCTCCTCTTCTTCGCCCTTCTTCTTCTTCTTCTTGACCACCGGGCAGAAACCACTGTAGCGCCTCCCCTTCAAGCCGAGCTTCACCATGTTCTTCTCCTCCCTGTAGGTCGTGAGGAAGCAAAGGGATCCAGACACCAACCCCCTGCCGCACTGCTTCAGGATGTCCCCCGCGATCCTCATCAGCGTTGGTCCCGTCCCACCCGCCGTCCGGAAGACCTTGCTCAGCACCCTGCGCCCGATCTCCTTGGGACATCCTTCACGAGCGATGCCAGAAGGCCGATCGGCAGCTCACGCCACGCACTCATCCCAAAGCTGCGTCCAAGAAGGATAGCAGCTCCTCCACTCGACGGGTCTCCCACAAGTAATAACAAAACCCCTCGGCCAGATCGCCGGTAGATCGAACCTTCGTGATTGAGTAGTTGTTGACCACATACCACATTGGGTCCAAGAGAACGAGCAGCCAGCTCCAGATCCAATTCCCTGGCTTGAAGGGATGCCGCAAGTCATGCCACCCGTCGTGGTAACGTTTGCAATGCACATTGTCTTTGTACGCTTGCAGTGAGCTTGCCAGGTCAAAGTCATTCCTTGCAGTTTCCGGAGCTTCTGTCAAGTCTTCCAAGAGACTCAACATTTCATCGTGTGAAACCGCCATTTCGATCAAGCCAAAAAACTGCGGATTTCAGGGGTGGCTGGGTGGGTTGTGCTGAGGCCACCGACTTCTTCTATGTGAAGAAGATGAAGTCTTGCAAGGCTGCCCCATTGACGGATGCCCAACTGCGAACGAAGAGATCGTATGATGACGTCTCTGGAGCTATCAAGAAGGCATTCGGGTCACCTAAACCCTAGATCCTTAGACCCAAAACCCGATCCCCTTGAAGGAGCCGCAACTACCCTCCCAAAATAACCACTATTAAGGACCATAAGAACCCCTAAATAACCCTAAACCCGATCCCCTTGAAGGAAGCCCCAACTGCCCTCTATTGTACCCAAAATACCCACTATTAAGGACCATAAGAACCCCTAAATAACCCTAAACCCTAGATCCTTAGACCCAAAACCCGATCCCCTTGATACCCAAAATACCCACTATTAAGGACCATAACAACCCCAGATCCTTAGACCCTAAACCCGCTCCCCTTGAAGGAGCCCTACTTCATGAAAGGCCCAGGTTCGCATCCGGCGATCGCAAGGCTTGCCTTGCCCCGAGCTGTCGGGGGAAGGGTTCCTTTAAGGGTTTATAGGTTTAGGGCTCATACGGTTTAAGGTTTATAGGGTTTAGGGTTTATAGGGCTTAGGGTTTAAGGGTTTCGGGTTTGGGGTTTAGGGTTAAGGGTTTAAACCTTTAGATTACTAAAGTACTAGAAGGGGTATAGGAGTTTAGGGCTTTTGGTTTAAGGTTGAGGGTACTATCAGGGTTTGGCGGTCTAGTAAACCCTAAACCCTAAACCCTACACCCTAAACCCTACACCCTAAACCCTAAACCCTAAACCCTACACCCCAAACCCTAGGGTTTGGTACTACGGCCGCAGTACCAGCATTTGCGAAACATCCGCTGTCGTCTCTGCTGGATCCATGCGTGCCAATCTTTCTTTTAGGATCTGGTCCCTTTTAGGGTCCTTTTTATAAGGGTGCCGTACTACTTTGGGGACCTAAGAAGGGACCCCAATTTAGAGAACTACCCATCTGGGGAAGAGATCAAAGGAGCAAAGCCCACAAAGAGCTCACGCGCAGGCAGCGAGGCCCGGGTCTGTTCCATCCCGGCTGTGCGAGGCGCAATCGAGCATGATTCCGTCGGCAAAAAAGTGATAAACAGCCCTAAACCCTAGACCCAAACCCCTAAACCCTAAACCCCAAACTTAAACACTAAAGCCTAAACCTAAACCGTAGACCCTAAACCCCCTACACCCCCAGATCCGGGGAGGATTTGGAACCCTAAACCCTAAACACCAAACCCTAAACACTAAACCCTAGACCCTAAACGCTAAACCCTAAACCCCCCTATAAACCCTAAACCCTACTGCCTAACGAGCCATATCAACATCCAAGCCATCCTACTACTACTGCTACTACGAC